TCCATCCCCAAAACTGACCATTCCCATCCCCACCCCATGCATAATAACAAAACTAGGTCTTCAGTTTTTTTCTGAAGTCTAAGAGGGAGGGGGCCAACCTCACTTGTGGGGGAAGGGTGTTCCACAGGGCAAGGGCTGCTGCAGAGAAGGCTCGCCTCCTAGACCCCGTCAGATGAAATTCTCTTACAGACAGGGTCCGTAGTATGTCCTCTCTGCATGACCGGGTGGGACGGGTTGATGTAATGGGGATGAGACAGTCCTTCAGGTACCCTGGACCCATGCCATATAGGGCTTTAAAGGTGATAACCAACACCTTGAATTGGACCCGGAAGGAAACTGGCATCCAGTGCAGCTCACGGAGCAAAGGTGTTATATGTGCTGATCTTGATGCACCTAAAATTGTCCATGCCGCCGCATTCCGGACCAGTTGAAGCTTCCGGATACTCTTCAAGGGTAGCCCCATGTAGAGCGCGTTACAATAGTCAATATGGGAGATGACAAGGGCATGAGTGACTGTTCGAAGGGCCTTAGACAAATGTAGGATGAGCTGATAAAAAACATCTTGGCTGGAGACTGAGGGAGCAAGATATAATGACAAGGAGTATTTTCACTCCAGTTCTCCTTCTAGTAAATGCCTGTCTTATGATTGGTCATAGCTAATATGGCTCTCATTCTGTGAAAATGCCTCCCAAATATCTGCAAAAGTCCAAATGTATTCATGGTCCTAAAAGGATTGCCTACCATTAATACCATTCATTGCCTACCATTAATACTGGTGACTGAGATATTAGATTAAAATAGTATAATTTTGTTGGGGTTGATATAATGCACCCATAATTACATGGGAACCATTATATTATAAAATATATACAAATAAACACTTAGCACTTTTCCTACATTCTAAGGATTACCATTTGGCTGATGTGAGCTGCATTTCAATGGGCTTGTCTCTTTGTAACATCTTCACAAATATTTGTGGTAATAGTTCTCCATCAACCAACACTGAAAAACAAAGAGAAAATATGTTTCAAGAAATAGTTAAACTGTAATTATTTAATGAACACCCATACTGACCTCAGAAACCTACCATTTACAAGAGTCATTGATATCTGGGGGTTTTCAAAGGCTAGAACTGCAAAACATTTCAGTGCTTGCATTCGAACCTGTACAAATATACAGCATTTACATTAATTACAATGAAAGCACTCTCTTGTTTTAAGAACTATTAGAAGTCAAGTGAAAAAGTAATGTAAAAACTCATCAAAAATATTTTAAATACTCAAAAGACTAAAGAGTACTTCTCGAAAGTGTGAAAGCAAACTTCCCAAAGGGACATAAATTATTGTCCAAATCGTTGTGTATTTTCTAAGGCCACTGAAACTTGTTTTTATGCATCATGATTTGGGAAAAGTGGATGTTCAAAATTACATAGATTGAATTCCTTTTCTATAGAGTCCCAAAACATTTTGTAACAAATATCTGCTTTTGGTCCTCTTCCCACAGCTAAATATTGTAATTATAGTTCTATAATCTTATCTAGAGATTTCAGAGTTGTTTTTTTACTTAATAAATTCTTTTTAATACTCCAGATTAACAGTATTAAAGCTATTGGTAATTATTAATTCTATCCATTTTGCTCAATTTCATATATTAATGGCTTGACTTTGAATTTCACTGTAATTACTCTCCTGCACTAAATTTGTTTGGGTTTTGGCATGCTGGATACCAAACACCTATTATTATTATGTTATAATAAATATATAATGTCTACAATGTTCCCTGGAAGATGCTACCTTCATAGACAGTTAACTCTGTTAATAGTATTTTCTCCCAAATATCCTTGTTGTCTCTTTCCTCGCATATGCATCTGCCACCATGCCCATCAGAAAAAAACCCTTTACAAGAATATGAAACTTACTCTTTCAACACTGCTCTATAAGAAATAAGGTCTCTCTCACATCTGTACACCTATATCCAAGCCTAAACTGAAAAATACATGCAGTTCCTTTCTCATCAGGAAAGAGCTATACTAACTTACACTTATTACTCTGCCAATAATATTACACCAAGATTTTAAAATAGAAGCCTAGTTTATAAAATACAGATTATATTACTGGCTTACTTTATAAGATGCAGAAGTTAACAGATGAGCAATATTCTGCACTGCTCCATGATTAAACAGCACTGTCTGATGGTCTGGACCCTATTAAAAAATAAGCCAGAGCTCTTTAAACATACTGTAAAGGAAAACAACATAGTCATTTTATTTTATACTACTTATTTGCAGGCTTATAGCTTTCAATGTCTAATTTAATTCATTTCAAGTAAATATTAGAACTGGATTATCATTATGCCACTTCAGCTTCACTACTTGACAGCAATTTTTAAAAAATAAGTCAAAATTTTACAAAAGTGTATGAGTCATAAAATGCATTGCTTGCTCTTGTGTTTTGCATTTTTTGTTCTTTAAAATAGCAGTCACTGGGAGATGGAAGTGTCACTTAAGTTAACCTTTTCCCTTTACTTCATCTGGAGGAAAATGGTCCCTTCCTTCCAAGTAGGACTTGGAAGAGAAGCAGCACCAAACTTGCAGATAGTACTTTCTGCAAGAATTGTAGCACTGGGGAAGAGGTTGCTATTTTGAAAGAAAGGAAAGAAAATACAGACAAGCTGCATGTTGTAAAAACTGGTAACAATGGGTTCTCCTTAATATTGATCTTTAGAAAATTAACTGTTGCCAAAATCAAATGATTATAATTCTTTTACTACTATTGGGAAACTTTCAAAATGGAAAATTAAGAGCTGCTTAGAAATGAATCTCACTTTTCTCTACTTTGGGCCTTGAAAATAAGGATACTGTAAAAGAGATTCTGGTATCTAATAGCCCATTTCATCTGGGGGAACTATATATTTTATGAGTAGAAAATAAGGAAGATCTTGGAAGAGCATATTTACAAATTTTAAAATGAAAAGTCCAAGGGTTTCTCATATATCTCAAGAGAGAAGTAATCATACCAACTCCAATACAAATGTTATCTGTAAGTATTTTTGGATATTTTATATGTACTTTTAAACAACTATACTTATCAAATACACCCAAGTGTCCATATTTAAAGTTGAAGCTCCTAGTTTCTATAGCAGTGAGATTCTTGTGAATGACACTGAACAGTTGAATCTTGAAAAATAAATCTCAAATGCAAAATTGCAGCTCTCCATGATCACCAAATGGCAACTCTGTTTGAATAGAACATTATTAAGCATTCTACACAACATAAATTAACATCTTGCATGGGTATGAGATGCAATAAGAAAGGTGCATATATGGCAACAATGGACCCAACCTTAGAAGAAACGTATTTCAAGACACATGAACAGTATTTTCAGCAACATTTGGCTGCTGATTGAAGAAAGTGTGACATGAAGCTAAAGATGTACAACATGGACAACAGCAGAAAAGGGATTGTCAACTGATGGTCCAGTGATCAGTTCACAGGATCACTGGTGGCCAGTGAGGCATAACGGTTAAGGTGTTGGACTGGCACTAGGGTAATACAAGTTCAAGTCTAACCTGAGCCACAGGAGCTCCCTGGGAGACTTTGAGCCAGTCACTCTCTCTCAGCTCAACCCACCTTACATGGATGTTGTGGGGAAAAATGGGAAGAAGAAGTGCTATGTATATTGCTTTGAGCTCCAGAACAAAAGGTAAGATATAAATCTAATAAATAGGTAGGTGGATAGGAAGTGTAGACATTTATTGTTTCATATTTGTTTTTTTTAAAAATCATTCCTTATTTACATTAAAAAGCTTAAAGTAGCTAAAATTGAAAGGTTTTAAAACAAAAGAAACTAACAAAGCAACCGCAAGAACCCAAAATGGCATGCAAAAAACTCAGGATACTAGGTATTTTAATTTGCTAATATATTTTTTCATTCCACTTGCGTCTTTAACTATAAAAAAGAAATCATATGCCAAAAGAAATGCAATTCCAGTAAGGTTTTTAAAAAGATGCTGCTTTGAACATTTTTGCTGAGTTACAATTTTTATTGCATTCTGTTTCCGCATATGAGCTTCCTGTTGATCCTTATTTGACTTGTTGGCTCCATATCTCTTAATTTATCAGACCCTTAATTCTTTATGAAGAGACAAAAAACCTTTTGTGTTCTAATCACACAAAAAAGCCTCCCTTTAACTATGCATACTTTATCTAAATACAAGTGAATACCAATAATAAAAGCTATATCACATTAGAGCTAGCCGAATATATGTATCACAAAAAGTTGTTTCAGTGATATTAAAGAAAAGATGAAATATTTACTGTGTAAAACCTACTCAAAACTTTATTCTCATGTTTTTGACAATGTTATGATTTTAGAATCATCTTGATAATGTTAAGACCAGACTAGTCTCTAACAAGTCACTGTTTCTAATGTCACCAACAGCAACAAAAAAGATTAATATTATTATTAACTAATTATTAATTATTAATCTTATTAACTAATGAGATAATAGATGCCAGACTTTACTGCCTAGGTTTTGCTGTTTGCTCATGGTGTTTTCCTTTAGCCAGTGAACAAGCAGGTGCCTCTTCCCTTTCTCTTCTAATGTGCTGTTAAGTTTCAACTAAACATGATATAATAATTTATCTTTATTATGAACCAGTTATAATGTAAAGCATCTTGTTTACTTTGCTCAACTTAAAACTCCTAACATTTTAATTTGACTACATGTAGAAAGATGAAAGTTGAAAAGTCTTTGTTTGGACTCCATGGTTTTTTTGGGTTCTTCTAGTGTATTTTGACACTCATACTACCGATGGCTTCTCTTAAGTCATTATTCAATATTGTTTCACCTTAATCCTCTCATTTTTATACTAGCTCCAAGACAGCTCTAAAAATGTTACAATTTGCCAATAAAATAGATATGTATATTCTGATTCAAGTAAAAACAACATATTAAGCTACATATAACCAGCATAACATCTGAAAAGGACTTGGACTTTTGAGACTTCAGCTACTGTCACTGACATATTTTATAATTAAAAATGCAATTAATATACCACATTGTAGGAAAAAAAAACTTACATTGGCACATAGAAGTGGCTGAGGCGAGGATTTAAAGCCGCAGCTATGCCAGTGTCGGAGCTGAAGGACAGATATTAAAAAATATAAAATTAAAGTCAAGAATAATTTTGTCTTTCTTTTTCAAACCTGAAGCTTATTTAGCCATGGTGAGACTCTTCCCTCCCCTCCCTCCAATGAGCACTTCAAAATATGATGCAATGATTTGATTTATGAACCCAATCTGTTCCTCATATTTTAGATTATGGACCATATTGAATCCTACTGTGCATTGAGCAATTACACTTCAATACATAAGACATAAATATATTTGTTTAGTAAGAAGCATATAAATAAATACATGGTAATAAGCAGAATGGTTATAAAATTGAGCTGAGAACCATATAGTTCCTGGTCTACCTTCATTTTTGTCATTAACTCTTGAAGTCAAGAATGGGGAAAGGAAGACTGAATTAACTGATAGATCCCTGGGTAATATGCAGTATATCGGCATTGGGTTTGGTGCATATTTTGTGCTCTCAAGATTCTGCAAATCTTAAGTATTTGCAGTAAAACTGAAAGTAAAAACATAAAAAATATTTCATCACGGAGCCATTTGAGCTGTTCTACTTACATGATCTATTACCTGTACTATTAAGATATCAATCTGTATATGTATATATTCCATTATGGACAATACAAGACATAGTTAGCCCTGTTCCCATAAGCCACTATTTTCACTTGCTTCCAACTTGTGGGCCTCAGGGATCCAGTAAATAAACAAGTTCTCTTGGTAATCTTAGGCAAGCTATTACCTAACCTTAGTCCACTGCTTGTAATATAGAAATAATACTGATTTATCTATTTTTTTTAAACAATCTCTCCCTCTCTTCCTGAGATCAATGAAATACTCCAAAGACTCTAAATCTAAATAAATGTCAAGTATTACTGTTACAGTTCATTATCAGCTGACTCACAATCTGTCCAAATATACTGTCTGAAATTATTTTAAAAACTTAGGAGGGCAGGGTTTTTTTTAACAAGGAAAGGAATAGTAGGAAGTTTTAACTTTGCCCTAGTGCACTGTAAGTTAGTAAAGCAGCTAATATTCTCTCCCCATAATTCTAACAAGGGTTGCAGAAACTTAAAAAAAAAAATCAATATAACTTCTTCACTACTTCTTTTAGTTTCTGTTAACATTATCTGTATTAAATATACACTTTAGAAAATTTTAATTCAGAATTCAAAATCTAAAGTATTTCACAAAATATTAAGAATTTTCTAATCAGTATAATTACTGTACTTATATTACAATATAATACTGAGTTCATGTAGTTGGAAGCCACTTCACTTCAGGAAGTGCTCTCTACTAAACTGTTGATCGTATAGAAAAAGTTTTACCTTGTCCACTTGTGGCTTAACTAAAGATGGATTCCTAGACGAAATAATCATTTATAACTTTTTCTAATCCAACATCAGCTGCTATAGTTTATTCCTGCTTTGTAATATTTACATCGGTTTAGGTACTAATTACACAAATGAAAACCAATTTTCTGTCTATCACAACATTGGTTATTACAATTACAGAGAGACAGAATAAGGTAACAACATTCTTTTTCAATGATATCATTTCAGATTGCAGCTATGAGACGCTATCTGAATACCCTCTTCTTGTTTGCCTTTCTTGAAAACTGTGGTTTTATTAATGTTTCCTCTAGAATGCATATAGGACTGCAAGTATGAGACTTCTGGATCTTTGAACCTGTTATTGTATTCAATTTTAACATTGTAAAGCATCAATCAGTCAAGTCTTGACAAATTTGTTCCAGGGACCAAATCTCTAGAACACCATATCAAAGCTTTCACCAATCTCCCATGGAAGGGAAAAGGAAGGATCAAGGTAGACAGAGAATTTTACTCTGTCATAGGGGGATTGTATTATTCTATAAAATCTTTATAGATTTTTAAAGAAAAGTTATTGCTCACATTTATGGACTTTGTGCCAAACTCACAGAATGAGAAACATGCAAATAATGTTTCCAGGGTTAAGAAATTCAGAACAGCCTCAAGTACAAAATAAAACAGAAGAATAGTTTAAAACATGGGAACAAGATTTAAGGCTTTTGAAAATTTTCAGGAAAATATCTATATATACATTCATTGTGTGTATGCCAACTAGAGCATACATGGATGAGATTAATATAATTAATTAACATCAAAGAACAAAAATGTTTTAAATATTTTGGAAACAAATAAACATGTAGATATAGGAAGTACATTTATGATCATTTCTTACTTTGCAACAATGTGAGAAGATCTGACATATATATTCTTGAGTATATCGAGACCTACTGAGCAGCGCCATGAGGTGGGGAATAACTGTAGCATCCTAGAGAGTCAGAAAAGTGAATATTTAAATGAAACATTTAAACACAAGCAATCACAGATATATCTACTTCATGAACTTGGGACAATGTTTTATCCTATATTGTGGTTTAGAAGGAAACAAAGTTTGAGGACTGCAAACAAGACCATTAATTTACACACAATATCACCAAAGATTTTAGAAAGCAATAGAGCTCTGATAATTTAAGAACATAAGTCTAGCTAGCATCAAAGGATACCCTGAATTCTCAGAATATCGATACTTTCAACCTTCCTTAAGAAAGGATTTTATATACCTTCTGCATTGCTTAGAAATATTTGGAAACAGAAATGGGTAGCACTTGCTAAAGATTTAGATGTCAACAAAAACATGAGGGGCCTCTATTATTTCTTAAAAGAAAAATAAATATGCACTCAATAACATTCATTATTAAGACTTGTCTGCACAATTTCTATTTAATATTACATACATCACTTATCAATATACAGAATGTATTATGAATGAACTTAAAACAGCTTTCTGCTTTAAGGAGCTTAATCTCAATTTTCATTGCTAATCTATTACAATGGCTTCTCAGAAAATAAAGAATTCTGTAAAATCTTAATGCAAAATAACTCTGAAAACTAGATTCTTCTCATAATCTATTCAGGTTACATAATTAGTGACCCAGAAAGCCAAGCACAGTCCACCAGCGACTATAGTAATTAAGGATGTGCAAAATGTTCTATGTATGAACCACTCTGCACAGGAAAGAGTTTCAGGTCCATACATGGAAGAAAACAGGGATGAAGAAGGGGTTGGGGGAGAAGGGAGAAAAATCAAGCACACTGGTAGCTGAGGGGGGGGCAGAGGAAAGAAAAAGGGGAGGCACAGGGGTAATCAGGAGATAAGCTAGCCAGTAGGAATGTGCTGCTTGGAGCATGGGCAACAGCTGAGGGAGGGAAGGTATAGGGAATATGCAGAATAGGTGGGGAAGGAGGGGAAAGAAAGATTCAGAATCTCCAATCCCTTTTCACGTCCTATATCTTAAATCTTCATGATCTGCCTTCAATGAGCTAAAATCAATTGAACAACTTTCCCTTCAGATTTTTCAGAAACTCATTCCAAAGTCTTAATTCCAAATTAAAGGGTATTTATTAAGAAATACAAGAAAGCTAGCATATACTTGGAGTACAAAATAAGCAATACAAAATTTGCTAATTTATGCTAAAAATCTAAGACAGTGGGAACATTTCACAGCATAAGACTGCAAGATCGCCCTGGATGTCCCATGTGGTGCAGCTTCCTACACTGGCCCAGCTAATCAGCTGATCAGAGAGAGGCAAAGGACCACTTTTACTGTGAGGACAATGAAAGCCTAATGTAAAGTAACAAGATGTTTAATAATTCTAACATTCTTTTTACAACACGTAGATTTTTCCTAAAGTATGTTAGCTTTTACTATTAATCCCCATTGAAATCAATATAATGAATATTATTCATATATTTCTCACAAGGGGAATAAAATAAAGTTGTACTTACTTCTCCCACAACAGATGACAGTAGCAGCATGTGATTTTCAAAAAAATACCTAAGTCTGATTAACTTGCTTTTATATCTTGGAACGCAATATATAAACCTCTTGAAGTTACATACCAGGAGCGTCCCAATGAACACTATAACTTAAGTGATAGTCTTCTGGTTTTTAATTCCAATTATTTTGTGAAGCGAATTCCTCTCCAACCAACATATGTTGTCACGTGTAGTGCTTTTATGACTATGAGTTTCTAGCTTGAATAAATTGCAGCAGTTCTAATTTCAATGGTTCTAAATTCTCTCAGGGACGCATATGAAATAAACCTGCATGTATAAACTTGTGTGCAGACTCAAAGGATCAGTTATTGCCTGTAACTTACTGTATACAATAATTCTTCAGGAGTAACAGGGCTGGTGAAAATAGTACGAAGACACCTGAGGCAAGCTTCAATGAATTTAAGATCTGGTGACAGTAACCCTGTAAATACAAGTTTAGATTCTTTTTTAGTTCTTGCAAACGGTGCACTCAAAAAACCAACACAATAATGAAAGATTAGGTACCTTGCAATAAGGCTGGTATGATATGGCAGTCCAGTAGAGATTTAACATTATTTTCTGTACCCATTGCAAGGCTTCCAAGCACCACTGCACATTCCGTTTTTAGCTCAGTGCTGGAGTTTTCTTGCTGAAGCAAGTATAACAACCTACATGTAGAAAACAACTGTTTGACTAAGGTCACATACATTAATTTAAATACAGAATCCTTCTACATAAAAAGAAGCAGATTATACCAAGTGGGGAAATGATAATCAATGTGTTACACAGAACATTACATGGATAAAAAAAATGTGAAAACTATATCCAAAACCCAATAATGAAAAAGTGGAATTATCTGTTTCAACTCATTTGTGGGCTGAACTCCCCACATATTCAAACTCTGATGGAAGTCTGTAAAATACATTCCTGAGGATCAGCTTTTCATGCATAAAGAAAAATCTGTGAACATAGACCAGCTCTGTTTTATAAGTTTTTGTTATTGAAATAGTTCCATTTATTTTTTGCCTCTCTCAGCTTCTTGCCTGCACCACTAAGCTACAGAAACAATGAGCAGTGTTTTCTTTTTTTTAGTTTTATCGTGGATTGTTCAAGTATTATGGAGCTTGTGAACCTATCAGATTTTCTTTACAAGCATTCAGAACAATATTCCATGCTTCTTATTCTGCAAGCTCTACATAGATATTTATTCTGTTTCCTGTTTAACTAGAACCACTGAATAGTGTACTTTTAAGCGCTACTACTTTATTCCACTTTTATCTGAAGACTGCACTTATTTAGGATAACATTTACCACATCTGCTAAGATGTTCCTTGAAAGGCACTTCTCAGCCTAAAAGTATTCTTTGGTGTAGTGGTTAAGGGGCTGGCCTTGAAACCAGGAGAGTGTAAGTTCTAGGCCTCCCTTAGGCTTGAAAGCTGGCTAGGATGACTTTGGGCCAGTCACTCTCTCTCAACCCACCCCACCCCACAGGACTGTTGTTGTGGGGAAATAAGAGACATGAATATTAGATATGTTCACCCCCTTGAGTTGAATGAATGAATATATCTTAATAATAATAATAATAGCAGCAGCAGCTTTTAAATGATCTTAAATTGATTTGTTCTTTCTTTTCTGAAATATGTACCAGATAAATGTTCACATTTATTCATTCATAGCTTATAAGCAGCTCCAATAAGATCCAACATGAAAACTTTATACATATAGACCTTGCTTACCCACTACCTCACACAGTAACTGTTTGAAGTTACAACAGTGATGAAAAAATAACTTTGCAACCAAGGTGCACATTTACAACCTTTGCAATGTCCCTCAGTCATGTGACTGCCATTACGGTCAGTCAGTGTGCACTGTTCTGTGCCTGACATATTTTTTTTCTCTCCCCCACCTCACAGGACAGAGAGACTGGGGAGGAAGGGATTATAAGAGTAAGCAGGCACAAAATGGGGAATATACCAACTGTTTGCCTAGCGCACTCGCAGCTCCCCACCCTGAGAATGCTAGGCAAACAGCTGGTACCAGCACATTCCTTTCAATGTGTATTCCCCATTGTGTGCCTGCTTACTTTCTTGTAATCCTTTTCTCTCCAATGAATGTAAATACAAATATTAATTTCCTTCTTGCTAATTATCCCAGCACCAGGGTGAGCATTCCAAAAGGCAGGGGAGTGGGGAAAAAGGAAAACTGAAGTAAAATCGCAAGCACAGCTGCAGTCACATGATTTTCCACTTAGTTGCTGGTCCCACCTGTGGTCACTAAATGAGGACAAGAACTACAGTGGGGCAAAAAAGTATTTAGTCAGCCACCAATTGTGCAAGTTCTCCCACT